CTGGTACTTCAATTCTACCAATTGCTCAGAGGGAGAGAGATGGTTCATCTTCTCCATACAATTATATAGCCTGGGAAACTCAATGAGGAGCCAGTCTCAGTCACTGTAGATACCGCATATGAAACAGACTGTTGTTACAAATATGGACTTAAAATGTGCTTCTCATAAGACAATAAGAGAAAATGATGTGTGATTGGACAGTGAAAGGGAGGTAATACTGGTTTATATGGTGCCAAAAAGTGTCGGAATGATATCCAAATGTCTAATGAAGGCAGAAATTTGAATGGATGAACCAGGATACCTGGCTGAGGAAATCAAGATCTTGAAGGAACCCACTGTTTCTCCTTGTTGCTTACAACAAATTGTGAGAGGAAAGAAATGGGTTTTAAAACGGAACTGTACAAAATAAAACCAGAACAGAAAGACTTGCAAAATTCTGGTGCGCAAAGGAAGGACCCATCCTGTAACGGTCCATGAAGCAGCTCAGATATCAGCAGAATTGTTAGAAGGAGCACAGCATTCTGGATTCTAAAATGGAGTCTACAGCCTCGAGCATCTCAGAGGGTAGACTCGTGAACATCTAGATTTCAGAGAGTCAGACCGTCACCAGCTTAGTTCTGCAGTGTGACTCTCCAATCCAGGTTAGTAACAGGATTTGGTACCTAATCAAAAACTAAGGTGAAGGACCTATGAAAACCAAAAGGAGAAGAATAGGACCTACAGGGCTGAGGGAAAAGGATGCTCATGTAGATGAATTAGGAAAATGGAAATAGTCAAAACTGAGGAAGCAGAGTTATCATCTCAACGGAGCAGGCATGCAGGACTGACGCCAGAAACAGGAGCTTTCCAAGCACAATCTAAAGTGTGAGGAACATTCAAAGCTGGGAGGACAGAGCTGTTGTTCAAATGGTCCAAAGAATTGAGGATTGGTTCCAAGTCTTACGAATTGTTCTGCTGACTTTTGAATATGCTTTTTGTCTATTACGTCTTCTTTCTCTCCCATTTCTTCTCTCCTTTCGGAGGGAAATGCCTACCTGTGGCCTGTTCTCCCATTCTACTTTGAAAAGAGATAACTTGCAGTCCAGACTTCACAGATTCCATTATGAAAAGGAATTTCATCCCAGGATTGAATACACCTTAAATCTCACCTGTATGTGATTTAGATGCTTCAGAAGATGAGATTCTGGACGTGGAGTTGATTTAAAACTGTTGGTTTGATGTGAGGTGGGGAATCTATTTTTCACTTGGCAAGAACATAAATTTTGGTAGGTCAAAGGCTGGAATATTAGGAATTGAATCCTGTCCCCCCCAAAAATATGTTGTGAATGCAAATTTCTATACCTGTGGTGGTAATTCCATTTTGGAATGGGTTTTCTTTGTTATGGTAAGAGGGTAAGGTCAATGAGCAGGATGGCTGCAGTCAATCTTCTTTGAGATACAAAGATCATGGTCAACAGGAAGGGATAGACGGAGGAAGGAAGGATCTTCCATATGAAGCTCATCAGAGAAGATCTCAGAGCTGACAGAGAGAAAGCCTTCACACCCTGAGTCCAGACTTCTAGCTTCCTAAACTGAGGGAAAATAAGCCCCGATTTGTTTTGACATTTCTGCTGTACAGCACTAGATAACTAAGATAAATAAGTAGTTGAAGAAGTAAGTAAAAGGAAAGATATAGATTAGACTGGAACAGAATCACTGAATTTCTCAGTAAAGTGCTTCCCCACAAATTAATCCCCACCTTCATCCGGCCAGTGGCTTCCCGACACACTGCACACCAACACTCCTGCCCTGGAAGTCGAGGTCATAGAATTGTGAACTAGCTTCTGAAATCATTCTTTTACAAACTTTTTTGTTCATTTGTTCAAATGAATAAATCTAGTTCTCTTTAATGAAAGAAAAAAGTAACGGAACTAAAGAAAATCTGAGAAAGAGAAATAATCACCTTTTGGGCATCATTTAGTTAAGATACTACCATGTTGTTGTTGAGTCCCGTAAAGTCAGACCTGACTCATAGCTGATGCAGAGTGGCTGATGGACTTGAAAGATGTACCTTTGGGTTGGCAGAGCGACTCCCTGCCAGTCGGCCACCAGAGCTCCCAAGACACCACCGTGAGTGAGAATCAACTTCTACTGGCAACTAGTGAACCTGGAAACAACTCACGGGGCATCTGATCCAATCTGACTTTCAAATCTCCTTTTTTCTAGCTCTTTCTTAGCTTGTTCTCCATGTGATTCTTTTATGCAAGTCTAAAGGTTTAATTGAATTCCTTCTTCTAGGCCTGACCCCTCTATTTCTCAATACTCTCCTGAATCTGCAGGACAGGATGAAATGAGAAAACCAGTGGCCAGCAAACTTTTTAAAAACACACACACATGTGTACACACCATGCTAACCCACATTCAACTGTGAAAATGCAAATTTATCCAATAAATCATGACAGATGCAATCATAGAGTAAGAGAGCCTTCTCTCTAACAAAACATTTGTTATCTCATTGGGCTTGAAAGAAATGATCACCTGCCACCCCTGATTTGACAAGTCTCAGAAACCACCAGTCTCCCTCTTCTCAGGAGGCTCACAACCATGACTGACCACGGCCTCTCCCTCCTGCTTTTCTCCATCTCTGCCTTTCCGTCCTCCCCCTTGATCCGGAGCCTTTCTAGGGCTCTTCACTCGGATCTCAGGCCAGCAGAGCTTCTGCCTCAGCCAGTTTGAATGCATGCTGCCTGTGAGATTTCCAGAGACACGTTCGGCGGCCACATTAAAACTGCATGAGAGATTTCCTCCGGAGGCCTAATAATAGCACGTTTCATCTCTGAGACACTTTATAAACTGATAAAACAGCCCTCTATCCTCATAAGCTCTGGGCCTCTACATAGTGAACTAAAAACTTCCTTCTCCACTGCACTCAAATTCCTCCAGGAGGGGGAGACAGGGACCTGAAGGCCCAGTCACTGCCCTCTGGTCAAGGATGATCTCTAGAAATGCTCCATCATTTCCCAGGTTGTAATCTGAACAGGAGGCAAGCACATCTTTCTCCCTTCGAGTGGTTGGTGTAACATGATATCACTAAACCAGAGCTCACCATTATTGCCAAAAGGCCTTGCCATAAACCCCTCTCTTGGGTAACGGAACGGGGATGGAGGACTTTAGATTCATGTTTACTTAAACTGCACTGAGGTTCTCATCTCCCAATGCCAGATGAGTAGAGAGAATGTGACTCCCTAGACTAAGGATGCATGGCCAAAGGCAGCCAGCCTCCTTACAACATGGAGTTACAGTGGAAATAAACTCCCACCAGAACACAGCTAGGCATATTCATTTCTTTTTTTTTTTCCTTTTTTTATTTTGTGTGCGTGCACCGTCAAATCAGATCTGACTGGTACAGGAGGATATTGCACCTCCTTCTCCGGCAGAGCGTCTGGTGGATTCGAACCGTGTTCCTCTGGGATTGCAGTGCAGCTTCTTGCCACTAGGCCAGAGCTCCCCCATATTCATTTCTAAGTCATCTGTCTGTATCTTACAACAGCAGAGTCAAGTAGCTACAAAAGTGCTCAAATGGTCTACAAGACTACATGGTTCTTTGAAGAAAATATTTATTGCTCTAAATTTAGCATTGAGGAAGCGTGATTCCTCTGTGTGCCTCAGTTTCTAGAGCTGTAAGACCAATAATCTCAACGTCCAAGCCTTCTGTTTATTCCCCCATTATTTTGCAATAATTGTTGTTGTTCGGTACCACCAGAAGAGATTCACAGCTGCCCCTTCAGCAGGTTCTCAGAGACAGTACATCCCATGGAAGGAGACTGCACACATTGCACTGAGGACGGAACTCTGGTGGCTTAGTGGCAAAGAGTTTGTGCTGCCAACCCAAAGGAACATGGTTTGAATCCACTGGCGGCTCCGTGGGAGAAAGATGGGCAGTGTCTGTGTGATTTATTGCCTCTGACAACCCTCTGGACAGTCAGCTATGAGTTGGTTCCAACTGGATGATACAGAAGAAAAACAAATCGCAAGGGAAGAGGAGATTGCTCAACTTTCTCCTACAGAACAGCCAGTGGATTCTAACCTTTGTGATGGAGGCACAATTCCCTAACACGAGGCCACCAGAATTAATGTTCTGAGATTACCGTTGTTCTTAATGTTAGCTATAATTTGTTATGATCTATACAACCAAATGCCTGTGCATAATCAGTGAAACTCAAATAGACATTCTTCTGATAACCTCTGCTTTCTGCCAAGTTCCATCTGACATCAGCAATAATGGTGCCTGGTGCCATAGCCTCGTCTAAACACAGCTTAAACTTTTTCTGACAGTTCTCTTTCAATGTCCTGTTCTGGCAATTTTTTATGATCTTCAACAATAGCTTGCTTGCATATGATACGGTTCAAAACTTTACACATTCTAGGGGGAGGGGGATAAGGAGAAAAAGTGCAACAATGAATTAAAAAAAAATCACATTCTGTTGTATCATCTCTCTTGAGAATGGGAATAAAATAAGGCTCCCTTCCAGTCAGTTGGCCAAATAGCTGTCTTCCAAATTTCTCAGCACAGACTGGTGATCACATCCAGGCCTGCATCTATTAGTTGAACTGTGTCAACTGGTCTCCCATCAATTACTGGGGGCTTATTTTTTTGCCACTGTGCAGCTTGGACTTCTTTCTTCATTACCATTGATTCTTGATTATGAGTTACTTCCTGAAATGTTTCAGTGTCAACCAATTTTTTTTGTGTACAGTGATTCTTTGTAGTCCTTCCATCTTCCTTAGATGCTTACTAAATCATTCAATATTTTCCCATAATATCTCTTCAGTACTGCACCTCAAGGCTTGAATTTGGTTTTCAGTTCTTTGCAGGAACTAGAATCCAGTATAGTAGTTTCCTCTGACCATTACAGTGGACTTATGGACCTTACAAACCCCAGGCACTATGCTCTGTGAAGAGCCCTAACCCCATCTGTGCACTATGATTGAACTGACTGCAATATTTCTTTTCTCTGCAGAGAGATCTCTCAGAATGATGTCTTGGAAGCGATAGAGGCAGATGTGTTCTCCAACTTGCCCAATTTACATGAAATGTAAGCAAGAAACCAGGCGAGTATGTTTGTTAAACTGCAAGGATAAAACTACATCCTTCATAGTATTACTGTGAGAGAGAAGAGAAATGTAAACTAGATCACTTTTCCTCTGTTATTCTAGTTAACTTCACTGTCTGTTGTTCATGTCCTGGTTTTACTTGATGATACAGTCAATGCTCTCACACTGTGTATCATGAGATCACGTCTACAGAGTACCAGACTATAATTAAATTAATTTATAGGATCATAAACTGTCAAGGCCAGAAAAAAACTTTTAGGACTGTCTGGCCCAGCACTTTCCAAATTATGTTCTGTGGATCACTAGGCACTCAGGAATTATCAAAGTGTTTGGAAAGAGAAAAAGATTGGACAGTCAAATAAAGAACCACTGGGCAATTTAGACAGGCTTCATTTACTGGAGGAAAACTTTACCAAGCCTATTATATGCTAATTTGCATCTGGAAATTCCAAAAAGTAAAGTGATAAAAGTGCCTCCATTAATGCCATGGATAAGGGCGTGTGTGTGTGTGTGTGTGTGTGTGTGTGTGTGTGTGCGTGTGCACCCAAGAAGCATTTATTAATATTTTACAAAATTGCTACAGAACACATTTAGAAAAGCCAACCTCAACCATATTCCTAATTTTACACGTGAAGAATTAAAAACACAGAGAAATTGTGAGACTTATTAAGGGTGACCCACAAAATTCACGGGAGGATAAGGGCTTGGGCATAAATCTCTAGACTCCTAAGCCAAAGATTTTTTTTATATGTTTTTAAGAATAAAGTCTCTGTGCTTAACAAACATCCACACGTCACCAATTTATATATACTTGCCTGTATATACACACACAGACATATAGGTGAATGTATTTAGAAACTATCCTCATGTGTCCATCTTGATGAGCCCTCTCTCCTTTTTCCTTCCTTCTTCACATTTCTGTCCCATGCATTTTCCCTCCCACCCTCCTTTCCCCCCTGTTAGTAAGTCCCTGCAAATGAAGCCTTCTTTATCTCTTCCAGTGCTCCCTCCTTCCTCTCATTCTGCTTGCCTTTTCCTTACTTTGGCTGGGATCAGAAGCCTGACTGGGTCCCCAGCACCCGGCCTGAAGGGCAGCCAGCCGCTAGGGCAGGGCTGAGTGGGCATCCATCCAGGTATTCAAAGGAGAGTGGAGCTAACAGGATAGTGTTTTCATCTCCACCCTGCTGGAAGATGGGCTCTCCACCACAGGCAGCTGCAAGAGCCCTTGAAATGATGAATTACCTGGTACTTGGACCTGGGTAGCCACACGTTACCACAACAACAACCAAAAAGCTAATGAGACGGGGATGGGGGGGGAAGTAATTAGCAGAGAGCATTTCTGCAGATCCTGCAAAACAGGGAAAGGGCAGGCTCTTTGTGTTGGAATCCAAACGTGAACATCCTCCCATCTGGAATCCTCATCAGGACACAGCGCAGGCCGAGACAGGGAATACCACTGCTTCTCAAGGCTAGAAGGGAGCAGCCTTCCTGTGCACCAGCCCCAACTGCCAATGGTTATGATCCAAGAGGCCTTGACCACTCCCCCTCAAGTCTTTACTCCCCTGTGCTCACTCACTTCCTTTTCCTCTCCTTGCCTTCTATCTCTCATCTTTTTTTAATTCCCTTCCATCTTCCTTTCGTCCTCTTTTCTGGTTTCTCTTCCCCTTTTCTCTGTCCCTGAGTGAGAGAAGAATTCACCTCCCCATAGTAGCCTCATCACAATTCCTTAGCTTCCTCCAGCTCCAGGAAGCGCCTCCTGGTTAAAAATTCAGCTTTGCTCTAGGTGAATACCAATACTTTGTTCAACCCTGGTGGCACAGTGGGCTAAGCGCTGGGCTACTAACCAAAAGGCTGACAGTTCAAAGCTGTCAGCTGCTCCACAGAAGGAAAAATATCAGACAGTCTCCTCCCTTGAGTTTGAAGAGTTATAGCCTTGAAAAACCTAGGCGACAGTTCGACTCTTCACCTTCACCTCTAGGCCATAATGGACTTGACACCAATGAGCATGTAAATAGTATGCAGATCTTCCAATGAAATTGATGGACAGGAGCCAGGAAGACGCTGAGGGTCAGAGTGAAACAAAATGAAGTGGGTATTTCGATTTATGGTTTAGCTTAGAAAAAGGCACAGCGTACTGGCCTAACAGCCACTGAAACAATGGCTAGGTGGATGAGCTGTTGTTGTGCTCTTTGGATAATGTGGGAAACAATGTCATAGTCTTTACTCCCCAAATTGCTTACAGAGTCTTTCCTCTTACAGTAGAATTGAAAAGGTCAATAGCCTGATGTACATCGACCCTGACGCCTTCCAGAACCTTCCCAATCTTCAATACCTGTGAGTACTCACACTTCCTACGGTCTTCCACGACCGAATTGTGCAATTCCTCTTTTAATGAAATGCCCACTAGCCACTCTGGACATAAAAATGCCTTTTATCATCAATGGGGGCAGAAGTAGGTGTGATACTTGGTGGTGAATTTTAGTTTTGTTTAATGAGAGCCTTCTACTAATGTCATTGTATTTTGTTTTCATTTGGAAAAAAAAACATAATAAGGAATGCCATTTACATTAATGGGACGTTCACATGGACCTCTTGCAGAATCTCATTCATCATTGAGTGTTAATGAGATGCCGCCAAATGTCTGCTAGCATTTAGCTTGTGACCTTGACCTCAAAGACATTGTCTCTCTTGTTTTGAATATATGCATTCTTTTTCTTTTGAGTTATTATAATGTTTTATTTTATAAATTTTTGTTAATAACAGAAATGGCATTTTATCAAGAGAGAGATTGCTGGTGTTTGAGCTCCATCCGCTGGGCCTGCTCCCATCAGCAAAATCTCTGTGTATCTTCCATTCAGGTGACTTTACTGAGGGTCCAACAGGGTTCTACATTCTATGATAGGGTCCCACAGCATAACTGTTCAGAATCTAGACTGTACAGTCATTCCACAATCACTCCCTACCTCTTGATCACATCCAAGGTCTTCACCTCATAAAGTTTATCTCCTTCATTAAGAGACAGGAGATTATAGTGTATACGTATCTGCTATTTGTTAACATAACAATAACTCTATTATTATTATTCATTTTACTGAAAATTTGCAGAGACTGGATTTCCATTCATTCATCGTTGCACTTTTCTCCCTGCCTACCCCTCCTCTCTCAGTACACTCTTCTCTTTGAAAAGTAAAAGACAAATTCTTTCATTATTTTATAATCCCTCTGCCCAGGTCCACTCCACTGTGCAGCCTTCGTTCTGGACTCCTGTCATGACATTAATACCTAATCACATATACCTTTTAAACAGTTTTCTCCCTCATCTGTTTCAATTCAGTGTACATTATTTATCCCCTCTTTCTCAGTCTCCCCTCAACCCCGATGTCAGTCCCGTTTTACAACAGTGGCACTATGCAGTATGTGTCCTTTTGTGACTGAGATATTTCACTCAGCATAATGTCCTGCAGGGTCACCCATTCTGAATATTTCATGAGCTCCGTGTTTTTCAATGCACTGTCCTACTCCATTGTGTGAATATACCACAGCTTCTCTATTCATTCGTTTGCTGATGGGCACTTAGGTTGTTTCCAACTCCTTGCTATTGTGAACAAAGCCGCGATAAACATGGGTGTGCATAACATAATAATAATTCTTAACTAACAACCATTTACCATTGTAATCTCTCTACAGGCCATTAACTGATTTGATTCCGTTGATCTGGACTTGACTGGCCTGACCTGAGCTAAGCTCACGTGTCTGGGGTTCGCAAGTAGGTCAAGTGGGAGCTGAAAGCTCTGGATGATCTCGTTCAGGGTGAATGTGCTCTCCTCCACGTGACTTTCATTATCAACGGGATGGGATTGCTGCCATGGCTGTGGTGCCATTCCAAAAGACAGCTGAGGCTTCTGGCCCAAACACTGAAACGGCACACCTTCTCTCGAAGGGAATTTCATTAGTCCAAACAATACACCATACTAGCTGTTATTCAAGAGGTAGAAAAAGAGAGACTCCTCCCCCTTCACTACTTCTTCTTTTCTTTTAGCTCTAAAGAACAAACATTTCTTTGCCTTAACAGTTCTGGAGTCTAGAAGTCCAAATTAAGGACTTCTTTGACTTTGACTTTGCTGTGCTTTTTCTATCTGGAGCCAGGAAGAAGTCCCTGGCTCTCCTTGGCTGTTTATAGATTCATGTGTCTCCACTGTCAAATGGTCTCTTATTTTCTCCCTGTATAACCCTCTCTTCTCACAACGCACCACTCAGAAGGGATTGGATTTAGGATCCATCCTACTTATTGGCCTAACAAAAGAAGGGCTTTTTTTAGACGAGCAAAAAGAAACCCCTATTTCAGAGAGAGAGGTTCGGGGATCAGGACCGCAACATGTCTTTGGGAGACAACTGGGTTCACAACACCTTGTTCTGTGTCTTTACAGAATGTCACACCCAGGGGCTGGTTATCTGTCTTGTTTACTATGAAATTCCTGGACAGGGAGAGCTGCTCGCATAATACTGACCTTGTCCCTATGTGTCAAGAATGATTAAAACAGTCAAGTGGGAAATGCAGGCAAGGGTTGGTTCTCTATGTCAAGGTGAACTCTGTCCACAGTAATTGTCTGCATTCTTGTCAGCCCTTGTGAATGAGAAACAGTAACAATGATTTGTATACATAGGTATCTGCTGGGCTCTTGTGAAGTCTGAATATACTATATGCTAATTTCCTTAACTGTGTCTTTTATAAAGGCCCTTTCATGGGGAAAGTTGTCAAGCTACTCAAAAGGCCAGTAGTTCCACAAAGTCCAGCAATCTGCGCCCACAGTGACTTAAATCCCTAGAAACCATATAGGGCAGCTCGACTCGACCCCACAGGGCCCCCAAGAGTCAGAATGAACTCCATAACGAAGAGTTTGGGTTTTACGGGTTATCTTTGATATAGCTAGGTGGTCGTTACTATTATTAAATGTCATTAAGTAAATGATTCTACTCAAAGCAACCCCATATGACACTGATTCAAAGGGACATCGAGTCTGTAAACTCCCAGCTCCCTCCTTCACGGAGCCAGGGGGTGGATGTGGACGCCAACCCTCTGGCCAGAAGCTCAGCATTCAATTACTCCAACAGCAGGGCTTCTCTACAGCTAAGGAGACTCGGTTGTTTAGTGTGCTGTTACTGTTAGCCGCTGTTGATGCAGGTCCAACTCGTGGTAACCTGATGTATCGCTGACTGAGGCTCCCTCAGTTCCAGGCCATTTTCATGACTGACTGTGGGGACAGTCCGACTCCTGTGTTGAGGCGAGTGTGTCAATCCGTCTCCTTGACGGCTTCCCTCCTCTTTGCTAACCCTCTACTTCCACAAACAGCAATTGGTCTTTCCTGATGACACGTCCAGGATGAACATGCTTAAGCCTCACCATCCTCATCTCAATGGAGCAATTCGGTTTTCTGTCTTTTAAGATTGATTTGTGTAGACGAGATCTCTTGGTGGGGAAGCTGCAAAGTCACACAATCACAAAGGGGCGTGGATACAGGAAGGAGGGAAAATTTGAGCAAGTGTTTTGCAATTAACGTTCAATGTGTAAAAAGTTTTGCACAGTGCCTGCCACAAGGTGAATGCCCGATGATGTGAGCTACTAGTGATATCGAGGGTGTAATGCGTATGTGTTAGGTTGCAAATGAAGAGGTCAGTGCTCAGGATGGACCCCAGTCACTCTATGGGAGAGTGATGGGCACTCTATACTTGTAAAGAATTAGAGCTTCCAAACCTGATGGAAAATCATCAGGAGTCCAGATAACTTGACGGCAGTGAATTTGAATTGTTCTGTTGTTAATGATCTTATGACTCTGTCTCCAAGCCTTGGCATATGACTAGTGTTACAGGAATGATTGGTAGCACTGACTTTTCTATGCCTTAGCTCTCAATCAAGACTAGAAGATTTAACAGAACCAGGACCTGGAACTCCTGATCTCTCAGAGGCACCCCAGAAGGGGTCTGAGAAAACCAAAAAATTATCCAGCACTGAGTTCATTTCAAAGGCAAGATACAGGGTTCACCAACATACAGTCTATGCAGCCACACAGAGCCCCATGTTTGGAAAGACTTTACACTAGGTTTGACTCTCTATTGTTGTTGTTATGTGCTATGGAGTCGCTTGCAACCCATAGCGACCCTATGTACAAGAGCCCTGAAACCTGCTCTATCCTGTGCCAATCGCATTGCCTCTGACACACCCACCCAATCACTGAATCAATCCACCTCACAGAGGGTCTTCCTCTCCTGCACTGTCCCTCCATCCTCCCAAGCATGATGTCCCTCTCCAAGGATCGGTCCCTCCTTACAACATGTCCGAAGTGTGTCAGAAGAAGCCTCAAAATTTTTGCTTCCAAGGAGCAGCCTGCTTTCACCCTCTCCGGGGTGAACCTGTTTGTTCCCCTGGCAGTCCACGGTATATTCAATATTGTTACTGTCTGTAAATACCAAACAATTTTTTAAATAAAGGTCCTTCATTTTCATCTTGTTCTATAGCCTGCAAATTATGTAGCCAATCTTACTTACTCTGAAAAAAAGGCTGTGATCTTTTCTTGTTTCAAGCTAAGGAATCATGCTTCCTAAATCAATTTTGTTCTTTCGGGACATGGTCTTTATGTCCTCTGCAGAGCTAACCCCAGGCTAAATTCAAAAAAGTGGAGGAAATATGGAGTGACAGATAAGGCATGGGCCTTAGGAATAGAAAGGCAAAGCTTCTTCCTGAATCTTTCATTTACTACCTGAGAAACTGTGTTCAGTCCTTGGAATTCTGAGATACACTCTAGTACATGAACTTCAAATGAGATTTAGAAATGAAAATATTCTGTAAACTATAAAAACATCATGCTAAAAAAACTAGTAAATGTATCAAGTATTTGTAGAATGACAATTTTAGGTCAACAAACCAAAGTATACAAGTCTATCAGGAAAACTTGAGGAAGTGTTGAATACAGAGAGCTGACAGCTTGTAAAACAATATAGTCAGTTTAGAGATAGCGGCATCTGATTCCCATTAACTCTTCATGGAAAAATAGTTTCTATCAACTAAAACACAACCAAAAATAAACCTCTCTGTCCTAATTAGTTCAGACGTGCCCTCACTCTGGCTGCACCTATTTCTATCAATTCAAACACCAAGCATCCCTTGCAGGGGTTTAACCATTTGCAATGACCACACAGAACCCATACACCACAGTCACAACTTTGGGGTTTATTAGGGAATTTGGCAAGTGAATAATTCAGGTAGGTAACAGCACACAGGTTCAAACTGTCTTCCTGTCAAACATTCTTCTAGGTGGTATAGCACTGGTCTGTGCGTT